TAAAATTATATATATATATATATATATATATATAGATAGACGTATTTTGTTTTAGCTAGTGGCAAGGCAACATTTATTTATTTACTGGATGTACTAAAATAACTCAAACATGGAATGAAAATTGATATAAACTATTTAATATAAATAGACTTTACAAATAATAGAAATAAAATGACAAAATCCAACAAAAATACTAAAAATGTAACTAAAATTAAAATGGAAAATGTGAAAATAAAAACTAATTAAATATTAATGAAAACTACAGTAGTATCTCAATTACACGAAACAACACAGCTATAAAATAACCAGATGGGCATTTGCCAGTCCTGTGCGCACCCGCCTCTCTCATGTGTTGTTGGTTACTATGCAACTTACGCGAGCCACATAAGCTGCGTCATTTCCTGTGTAGGGACGCGTTGGAGCAAGCCGTTCAGTCGATAACCTCCGACAGCTAGACAACGAAGACAGTCGATCTCCGTGCCGTTTTACTTTGTTTCTTTGCGCACTTATGCAACGAATCACTTTCCGACCTGTTTGATTTTTGTCTGTGGAATACACCCGGCGCACTTTCCAAAGGACTAAAGCGCGTTTCAACTTTCTGATATTTGAGCGTGCCAAAGGAAAAGAACTTTGCGTTTTAGTTTGGGTGCCATAACCTCCAAATACGGGACTAGTGGATTAGAACTAAACGCTGAATCGGTGCTCTACTTTAAAAACTAATCAACAGGAACGCAATGTGATTATGGTGGTTGTAAAGCTTTGGATTTCTGGGCAAAGATCCTAAACTCCCTCGTAAGGGATTCACTGTTGATGACAGAGGTATTGGAGAAGACGCACTGGCCACTTGACTCTTTTTCGCGAGCACAAGACGCACCGAGCGCGCAAGCTTTCTGTCAGTGTTATTTGGAAGGTGCACTTTCCTGTCTAAAATCGGACTTTTTATTTACGTTTTTTTACGTTCTCTCTTAAGTTCTGGCTATCACAGTTGTCGGTTAGTCCAGCTAAATTCTGCATTTCATATTTCTATAAATTTAAAATTCTATGATGATGGGATGGGATTTTAATGACTGTATTATTAAATTCATAATCGTTTGTTATTAAAACATGCAGTGTTAATATTCCAACCTATCTTAAGCTATTCCATCTGTTTGTCACTGTAAACTATCGATGTAATACTTATAATATACCTGGTACCATCGAATGTTGATTTAAGTAAAAGTCATACATACATACAGTTTCATAACAGTGACAGATCACAGTATTATACATCCTGGTACACATGACGTTAAATTAATGCAGCAGACATTAACTACACAACGTAAAACTGTTCTGTAGCATTTGAAATTGAGATGATTACATTTTATTTTATTTATTATTATTATTTTTACAGTGTGCCTGAAGTGTTTATTTCAATTCCAAACTTATTTATTTTTTTGTTTAAGGATACTAGCCTAATTAGATGTATGTGTTTGGTTTTGTAGGTCCTCTGTGACCCGTTTGGTGTAATATTAATTATGACAGTGAACATCAAGGCATCACAGTGCCATGCGCCGCTCCGCAGACTCCTGTAGACTCGGTTCCGGTGCTACTGCAATGCCCGCCGGACCCCTCCGCTTCCGCGTGGTTCTGTGATCCAGGCAAAGGGCGCGAGGATGAGCACAGACCTGGAGCGCCTGTCGCTTAACTCTTCCTCGGGAAACTCTGTGGCGTCTAGCGCGCATTCCCTTTCCGCCAATGTGAAGAAGCTTCACAACGCGCTCAACCTGCTGCTCAGCTACCTCGAGAGAGAGCAGTTCATCCACTGCCTCAACGTGTACCACTCCAAGCGCAATGTGTACGATCTGGTCCAGACGCTTAAAGTCATACTGAACGTACCGAGCAAGCGTCAGCTCCTGCCCATGCTGCGGCTGGTTATCCCGCGCTCAGATCAGCTTCTGTTCGATCAGTACACATCAGAGGGGCTGTACTTGAAATCCGACGTTCTTGCGCGCAATGGTGACCCAGACGGCTCCCACGAGGCTGCTAATTCGAGTCCAACACACGGGGCTCACTTATCGGCTCCTTCTGCGTCTCAAACCGCTCTGCGCGGGTCTCCTGATAACATCAGCATCAGCAGCGATGGGACAGCGACTCTTATTCCTTTACTGGGAAGAAATTTCTTACCGGAGCCGCCAGGCGAGATCCGACAGGTAACCCTCAAGCGTCACAAGAGCAACGAGGGTTTGGGATTTAGTATCCGCGGAGGATCCGAGCATGGAGTTGGGATCTATGTGTCACAGGTGGAACCGGGATCACTGGCTGAAAAGGAGGGTTTGAGAATAGGAGATCAGATAATGAAAGTTAATGACAAAGTGTTCGACCGGGTCACGCACGCAGAGGCAGTTAAGGTAAGTTTTTTTTATGAATATTTTTTGTGTGAGACCATTTAATTTATTTACTTATTCCGTAACTGATGCAGCATGTTGTTGATATTATGGGAAACAGTTTCTGTCTTTCCTTTTTTGAAAAAAAAAAATGTACTTATGCACCCAAAGATTTCATAACCATATTTAGATCACCTGATTCTGGCCAGTCATTTGACCACAGGGAACAGACTGCACTCCTCCTTCTTGATTGATTATTAATGCAAGACAAGCAGCTGAAAGTGTCCCTTGAAGGACTAGAATGATAAATACTCTCTTTCATTGAGATGTGTTAGCCAGGAAGGCCTGTGTAAATGTTGATGTTATTGATCAGTGTATATTAAATATAACCCAGCGCTGGGTTAAAAAGGGACATACCCAGCTATTGGGTTGTGGAACCGGGATCACTGGCTGAAAAGGAGGGATTGAGAATAGGAGATCACATAATGAAAGTTAATGACAAAGTGTTCGACCGGGTCACGCACGCACAGGCAGTTAAGGTAAGTTTTTTTTATGAATATTTTTTGTGTGAGACCATTTAATTTATTTACTTATTCCGTAACTGATGCAGCATGTTGTTGATATTATGGGAAACAGTTTTTCTGTCTTTCCTTCTTTGAAAAAAAAAATGTACTTATGCACCCAAAGATTTCATAACCATATTTAGATCACCTGATTCTGGCCAGTCATTTGACCACAGGGAACAGACTGCACTCCTCCTTCTTGATTGATTATTAATGCAAGACAAGCAGCTGAAAGTGTCCCTTGAAGGACTAGAATGATAAATACTCTCTTTAATTGAGATGTGTTAGCCAGGAAGGCCTGTGTAAATGTTGATGTTATTGATCAGTGTATATTAAATATAACCCAGCGCTGGGTTATATTTAACCCAACATTTTTTAGAGTGTAATAACACTTGATGTCACATGAAGCTTTCTACGAGCATGGAGTTGGGATCTATGTGTCACAGGTGGAACCGGGATCACTGGCTGAAAAGGAGGGTTTGAGAATAGGAGATCAGATAATGAAAGTTAATGACAAAGTGTTCGACCGGGTCACGCACGCAGAGGCAGTTAAGGTAAGTTTTTTTTATGAATATTTTTTGTGTGAGACCATTTAATTTATTTACTTATTCCGTAACTGATGCAGCATGTTGTTGATATTATGGGAAACAGTTTTTCTGTCTTTCCTTCTTTGAAAAAAAAAATGTACTTATGCACCCAAAGATTTCATAACCATATTTAGATCACCTGATTCTGGCCAGTCATTTGACCACAGGGAACAGACTGCACTCCTCCTTCTTGATTGATTATTAATGCAAGACAAGCAGCTGAAAGTGTCCCTTGAAGGACTAGAATGATAAATACTCTCTTTAATTGAGATGTGTTAGCCAGGAAGGCCTGTGTAAATGTTGATGTTATTGATCAGTGTATATTAAATATAACCTAGCGCTGGGTTAAAAAGGGACATACCCAGCTATTGGGTTGTTTTGACCCAGCGGTTGGGTTCAAAACAACCCAATAGCTGGGTTTGTCCATTTTTAACCCAGCGCTGGGTTATATTTAACCCAGCATTTTTTAGAGTGTAATAACACTTGATGTCACATGAAGCTTTCTCGATATACTGAGTATTTCAGTGTTTCATTGTGCTGTTTTCATTCAAAAGAAGAGCTGATTTTGCCTAATACTTCACATACTTATGACTACTATGACTAGTACTGTAATCATAATTTATAGGAAGTAGTTGCAGCATTTTGGGCCTACCATATGTTACTGAGATTGTATGCGCTGTCCATGGTGCTGAAACCAGCTATTTGGTATAGATTGCATTCTGTTGTGAGTTTTTTCCCCAACAATCTTACTGTTTGTCAGTTGTAGTAAGATCACCGATCTTCACATGCAGCAGACACTGGTGAACCGCTTAGGAGAAACTCTAGGTGCCACTTCTAAAAGGGCAGTTCTCTGAAGAACCCATTATTTTCTACTAGAAATCTAAACATTGCCAATAATAATAAGGAAAAACTTTTGATGCACTTGAAATGCATATTGAAGTTCCTTAAGTGCACTTTGAGGCATCTTCAAAAACTGCTTAGACTTTCTCTAAAGGCTTCCACCAGTGTGGCAACACTTGGAAACCTCAAATGAGGCCTTAATTTTTTAATTTTACAGTGATCATATTTTTAACGACATTACAAAACATGAAAGCGTCTGAAAGTGAAGATAAGGCACATCCCAAGCATATTTCAAAGTACTGGCATATAGCTAGAAGCCCCATTCCACTGATACTGCTTGTTTGACTCTCTCATATGCCCGTATTTGGGAATCGCTGTAGAGTTGTTTGCCGAGAGAAAATTAACATGAACAGTTTGTCGCCTTTCTGTATCATTGTTTCCCTCCTTCACCAAGGGAAAACTGGCACAATTGAGCAGCAGGGTATAAATTCCTGCCACGCTGCCTTTCTTAAACAGAAGCTGGCAGAGGAGGGGGAGGCTGCTTCCTCCCAGTTAATCGTATTGATCTGCATGAGTAAATGGACGAGCCTCTCCCTCAGGCTGAACATGACCTTGACATGACTTGTCTTGATGCTCTTGTTCTCATGTAATGCAGACATAGCCTGGGTAAAGAAAGACACAAGAAATATCTGAGCAGCCAGAATGGAGAGAGATAGAGGGGGGTTTTGCTAGGTGCAGACAATTTCAGCACAGTGTACGTTTGATCGGTGCCTTCATATGCTCCATGAATGCTAGCAGGCAGAGTTATCTCTCATTTTTCTAGCAGAAGGAAGAACATCTATTTTAACTACAGTGAGGATTTCCTCTGGTTTCTGTTGACCTTTGTGATGTGTAAATGAACCCTGAACGTTATCCGTTTAGCTTTTTTTGCTTTTTCTTTCTTGGATTATTTTGGTGTTTCTTTAAGTTTTCCAGACATAAACACCAAAATAATACAACTTTTTTAGAAGTTGTGACAACTTTACACGTTCACATGCAGCTAAAATTCTAGTTGGTGGAACTCATGGTAGAAGTAACACAGTACCCGTGTCGGAATTTGCATACTCTCTACATTAAGTGCTTCTCTTGAATAAGTAATTGCTCTGTGACCAATAAAAAGGTTCTTTATAGTATGATTGTAGTCCAGACATACGGCATTCATCATGTAGTCATGGTCATATGACCTACCAGCTTCAGTTGGAATGCCATTCATAAATCCTCTCCCGTGGCCTCATGGGATAGTGAAGTATCCACTAAATGTGCACTTAAGAATCTTGCCAGAAGTAGTTGGTTACTCTGGTTAATCTTTGCCTACCGTTTACTTATGAAGTTCATACTACTCTATATGAACACTGCTCCTTTATATACTTTTTTTGCCCACATTGCCCTTTAAAAATAAAGGTTCTTTATTGGCATCAGTGGTTCCATGATGAACCTTTAACCTCCATGGAGCCTTTCCTTTACACAAAAATGTCTTTATAGTGGAAATCTTTCGATTTTTAAAATGTTTTTCACATTAAGAAAAAAAGTAAGAACTGATATGAACAGTTCACTGAATGGTTCTTTGGGGAGCACAAAATTGTTCTACTATTGTGAATCCCCCATATGGAACCTTTATTTTTAAGAATATATTTATACTGTACTAGTAGGGAGGTATGCATGTTAAGATGCAGCCACTGTTCTAACCTGTTGTCTGTCCATACATGAAAGCAAAAGAGCTGTGAGATTCGGCATAATCACAGCCAATCAGAACTAATTGGAGCAAAATTTTGGACCAATGAGATTTCAGAATGGGTGGAGATATCCATTCCAGTGCAGAAATCAAAACAAAGGAAACAACAGCTGTTTTGTTGCTTTTTGTGTCTGGTTAGAATAAAAAAATCAGGTTGCTGTAACCTGTTTTGTCTGGTAAGGAGGTTTGCCAGTTGAGGTTTGTGTACATGATGTTTTGGTATGAGGGCAGAGGAAGAAGTACTCTTGCAGGTGTTTGATATCATTATTTCTCTGCCTGTATCTTCTAAACTCTTCTTGTTGGTATGTCTAGTTGTCTGTCTGACCAGCTGTCTCCATCTCTCTCTGAGTCTCCAAACTGATGAGGATGGATTGTACATGCTGTAGGTGACCTGTCCGTATCATCGTTATAGGCCATAATGAATACGTGTGATGCCCTTTGGCATCTCATGATTGGTTGGTCTATCCGCATGGCCTTCAGTGTTTGTTCACAGGGCTGCTGTGATAGCCCATATGATCAATGATCTTTCCTCATCTCCTGCTTCAAGGGTGACCCCATATAAGAGCACCTCTTAAGTCGAGTTGATTGAATTTTAATGCTGGGACTGCCAGGGTGCCTGTGGCTCAAACTTAGAGGAGGTTGCCTCTTGCCTTTGTCCTGACACTGAGAGATGATTAAGACAGAAGTGTTTACAGTCAAATGTGGCTTTGCAATCTCAGTTAGAGCCAGGCTAGAAGATTCATCACTAGACCAATGCCTCTAACCGTACGTGTCCACTTGTGCTGAGCTGAGCGAGCATTTTATGTGAGCTGAACAGCAAGTTCGTTTAGGCCTTTGAGATATTGACTGCAGAACAGTACATTTAGTGATAGAATCAAAAAGTTGAGAAATACTGAATGTTATGCAAATGAAAGCCGGCGAAAAACGGTGAATGGTCGTCACTGTGAGAAGAAGGCAGTGACATCTATCATAAGGTTTATTTATTTATTTATTTTTTAATCTGCCATTAGTGCTAGAGATAGTGCTTAAATCACATTATTGCATTTGACATCTTTAAATGAGATGTCAAATGCTGTTTGCGTGCTTTCATCGTGTCTAGGTTAAAAAAAGTGAATTAAATTGACACCACGTGTATACTTAAGTCACACTTAAAGAGATAGTCCACTCAAAAATGAAAATTCTGTCAGAATTTACTCACCCTCATGTTGTTCCAAACCTGAATGAGTTTCTTCTGTGGAACACAAAAGATGTTTGAAGAATGTTGTTTACCAAACAGTTTAGTGACGTCCATTATTTCTGTCCCTACAATGGAAGTTCTTGGGTGGACTATCCATTTACAAATGTCTGAATTTCATTGTGTTAGATACAAAATATCAAACCAAGTGGCATCTGTAATCAAATTATGCTAGAGCTTTTCTCAGAACTAACTTCACTTTTCTGAGACACTTTTAGAATTATTTTTAACCAACTGGTCTTGATGTCATTTTTCTTGGGTTTATGAAGTCAGTTCCCGTAGCAGAATAACCAGTAGTGTAGTTCATAATATTAATATAGAGTATAAACAAGATGTTTTGTCTTCATTTTGAACAATATGTGTTCTGCATTATATATTTAAACCTAACAAACTTAATTTTGTGAAATCTCTTAACTGTTAAAGGTGCTTGTGCTATTTTTCTTTATATACTTGTTTTGATATTTTGTTATATAATGCAAATACATTTATCACATTCATGGCCAAAGTGTCCAAATATGGAACCGTCATGTTAATGCGTGTGAATGATCTAAAATGTTTAACACATTAATATGTTTTAATAACGATTAACACATACACACAAAGTAACATTTATGTAAAGTCATGCTACCTAATGTGAACTTGTATTTTAGTGTTTCTGTTTTTATACTGTGGAAAGCTTTAAATGGAAAATGTTGAACATAATCATTACATATTATTTTGCTTTCTTTCCTTAAAGTGGCGTGTGATGGGGCACACCTGAACCGAATGGAGCCTCATCGCTGCCGCTGTTTAAATGCCGAGCACGCCTGTCCTCGAGAGACCGGTCTCTTCCCCGTGCATGCACGACATCAATGTGTCGTCAGGAGCCGCAGGGTTTAATTTGGATTTGTCTGTGCATGTTTTTTTTACACTCATAGACTTTGTTACCATTGCCATGCATTATAAGACTGATGGACTCCAACGGTTGGACTTAAAAATGATCAAATGTGTTCTACTGAAGAAACAAAGTCACCTACATCTTGGATGCCCTGGGGGTAAGCAGATAAACATCAAATTTTCATTTTTGGGTGAACTATCCCTTTAAGAAGGAACTAAACACTTTCTGACAAGAAAAGTATATAG